ATAAAAAAAGTTTTAATTTTAAAAATTTTTATGCTAAAAAAATGTTTTAAAAAACAGTAAGAAATATGTTTCAATAGAAACCTAAGTTTTAGGCTTCCTTTGGGAAGGCTTTTTTATTTCTTCTTAAAGCAAATTTTTAGTAGAAAAATTTTATTTTTTGTACTAAAAAATGCTTTAATAAGCAATAAGAAAGCCGTCCAAACAAAGCCTTAATCTATCAATTTATTGAATAATCAATTCAATATAAAGTTACATAATTTATGTTAAATCATCTAATCCATTTTAAATACTTCACATAAAAAAAAATCTAATACCCACATCATCACATAGTTAATTAATAAAAAGTAAATTAATATCTAATAATTAAACCACCTAATGATATTTTAAAGCATTAATTTATAATATTAAATCAATATGAAACAACTCATTGGTGCTGTTTGCATCATTAAATGATGCGTCAGCCAAAGATTTATTGATAGCTTTACTTTCTTTTTCTGGAATCTCAGTTGCTAGGCTTTTCTATCTCTCAGTCCACCTGGCACAAATGATGAAGCAGGCAATGCTCACCAATGCTGTTAAAGCAATCAAGAAGTTCAAAAGGTCCAATCTTCTTATTAAGACCGTTTGCCAAACACTTCTACTTTCTATCTTCCTCTTGTTGTTCTATCAAAACAATCATCATTTTGAAACTGTTTGATGTAAAGCTAAGAGTTTGATAAGCTTAAAATATTAATATTAATAAGGCTCGAATCATGCATTAAGTTAATGCGTTTAAGATTTCGTTTGAGACAGTTTTCTTACTGCTTTTTAGAATAACTTTTTAGTACAAAAATTTTAAATTTTAAAACTAAAAGCTGCTTTAAGAAGCAGTAAGAAAGTTCTCCCAAATAAAATCTGAATTTTATATTTGCATTAAACTTAGTTATTATTGAGTTATATTATTTATAAATATAAAGTCTATTATAAATTTATATTTATAAAGTATTGAATGTATGTATGTTATCATGTATACATATACAAGCACATTAAAGTGTAGAGGTACATATATACAGATATACATATATTTTTTATGCATATATAAACATAATCAGGTTGCTATAAAGTCAGATACAATCAAATATGATTGTGTTCATATGTCACTTTTTAAGGGCATGTTGGAGATGGTTATAGTGTTTATAAAGTTAATTATGAAGAAAGTAATTTCGTTATTATGGTTGTAGAAAACACTTTTTCATCATAGAAATTTTTGAAAATAGTGAGAAAGTGATTAGCAAGTAATAGTCATACGAAAATATGATTGTTGCATGAGAAGCAAAGCATACAGAAAGTTATCACAGCAAATCCTAAATGAGTGGACTTATAAAAATGAGTTGGTTATCGGGCGGAATGAGATCCAATATCAACAATATTTTTTCTTATATGACTATTTTTTATTATAAATTGATGGAGAAAAAGTAGAAAGATAATTTGATGGAAACTTATCATCTTATATAAAAACTATGAAGAGAGGGAAAAGGGAAGAAGAGCATCCAGAAGGAAGGTTAAAGAGCTTTGAAGAGAGAGAGACAAATAAAATTTTTATCACATCGTGCATGAGAGAGAAATAAAATAATCAAATTGATCTCTTAATTCTTTATGAAAGATCAAAATGAAACGCAAATTTAGTACTAAATGATCATTTTGATCCCTCAACTATTTAAAAAAGAATAAAAAAAATTTCATAATAGGACTATTTTGATTCCTTTTAAAACACTTAAGGAATCAAAGTAGTCATTTAATATAGTTGGAGATTATTTTGATCATTCATAAAGAGTTAGATGACCATTTTGATCTTTTTCTTAAATTTTAGTTACGCAAGAATCTAAGCATTTCATATTTAAGTCTAGCATGTAGAATGAGTAATAACTATAGAGCAAGAAAAGTGTTTCTATAAGTGACCAATGATAAAAAAGATACTTAAAAGAATAATAAAATGATCAAAGAGCCTATATAGGCAGCACTGCTGATAATCATGCTGATAAGTAATGAGGAAAATCTATGTATATAATAAGGTGGTGCCATTATAAAGTTATATATAAGAATGTAAAATAAAAGTATGTGATTTTTTTTTTTATTTGGCTCGAAGTAAAATACAACCAATATAAAATCAAACGATGACAGTAGCCTACAATGATAAGTGTATGCGGGTGGCGGGAGCGAGGGGCAACTGGAATACAAAATCAAATGGGGACAGTGGCCATCAACGATCAGTCTCAGCAGGTGGCGGGAGCGAGGGTTGACTAGAATATAAAATCAAATGATGATAGTGTCTGACAATGATCAGTCTCAGTAGACGGCGGGAGCGAGGGGCAACTGGAAGGTGGCTGTGTGAGTTTCTATCATTTTTGGCATCACCTAGCAGGTTATAAGGATTTTGTTAAATTAATTCATTATGGTTAGACATATAAATTAAGCTTTTAAGCAAGCTTAGGCTATACAAATTTACCGTTTTTTTATTTTGAATCTATAAACAAGCTTCTACTCAAAAGTTTGTAATTAATTTATATGCAAAAATTTACTTGTATCAAATTGGTTCTTCCATCATTTTAATTGAAAGATGAGCTGCCTATGAGAATGTGATTTTGGATTAAGAGACTTAAAATTGTTTGAAATTGAGATCAAATTCAGAATGAGAATCTATTTATAAATCAAATTAAACTTAGGAGACCTGATTGAGATCTTGGCTTCATTTTGGATAATATTTTTTATTTTTTAGAAGTAATATAATCATAATTTTTATTTGATCATTATTTTTTTTAATGATTTAAAAAAATTATGCTTGAGAAAATTTTTACTATAGTATTTAATTTTTTTTTGATGGGACAGCTTTACAAATTTATCTTAATTTGAGATAGAATTAAAAGACTTGAGCTGATTTTGGGGTTAGCAGATATTTAATTTTTGTTGTTTTTTTTATTCATAGGAAGAATTTTTTTTTTTTGCTTCTCTAAGGATATATATATATTTAGGATTTTTGCATAATAAATTTTTTGGTTGAGAAAGAGCCGATGAAGATGAAGACTATTTTGGAGGAGGACGTTGCATTCTTCGAGCAGATGATATGCTCACAGGATGTACAATTTGAAAGGCAGTACGCAAATGTCCAAGATAAGGAAAACTTAAAGTTGAAAAAACTGTAGCAGCGGGAGTCCAAGGGGCATGGCCTCTTTGGTGGAGTTTTGACCTGCCCGATCAGCTCGCGAGTACTGTGTATTATTGTGTATTGTTGATGTGTATCGTTGCATATTGTTGTTGTATATTGTTGTGTATTATTATTATGTACTGGTGTGTATTGTTACTGTGTAATATAATGTATTATTGATGTGTATTGTTATTATGTATTGTCATATAATATTATATATTATTGTTTATTGTTATCATGTTTACTTTGTATTGCTATTGTGTACTACTGTGTTGTCGTGTATTGCTTCTCAAATATGAACTCAATCCAACTAAATCATGGAGAATAAGCAAATCAATAGCAACTATAAGTTTCTTTTTCATCAATCAATCTTTGATTTTGCTAACATAAATTCTTCATTAGAGTAATTCGAGAGAGAGTGGCGACTTCAAATTTGGGCTTCTCTCCTCAGATATGATCAATCCATCATTTTAGTTTTGCTTGTTAATGTTTTGAATTGAAAGCCATAGAGGATATGGTTGTAATAAATCAATATGCATGTTCAAGTCTTCCTTCTAGTTATTTGCTTATATATGTATCTACTCGTTGCTGGATTTATTAACAAGCTAATAAGGGTTATATATGTATTTAAGGATTTTCAATTTAGTGAGTGCAAAATTTGGTTGGTCTTATTGCCTTAATGATTAGAGATTTTTGTTATTATTCAATATTATTAGCAATATATAATACGTTTTAGCGAAAAAATTATATTTTTCAACATAATTTCTCTAACACCCAGCTATGTAAAAACTCAAAAAGTTTTCAAATGAATAACTATAATATTTATAGATTAATATAAGGTTGAATACACAGCGATACATGACAATACATAGTACATTTTAGCAAACAAGTTATATTTTCAATATAATTTCTCTAATACACGCATGCACAGAAGCTCAAAAAGTTTTCAAATGCATAAATACAATATTTGTGGACTCATATAAGCTTGAATACATATCAATACCAAAGCAATACATAGTGCATTTTACACAACGGTACATAGTGGTACTCAACAACACATAATGTCAAAATGAACAAAGCATCACATAAACGAAAGAGAAAAAATGCATAATAATTACATCTGATAGAATAAATGAATGTCCAAAAAATTATCATTTAAATACAATTTCACATAGTTGATTTACATAACAGAAGCATGTGTTTCGTAACATTCGACATGTAAATTTTTTAAGAATACATTTTAATTGAATGTGTATGAAATGTCAGAAAAAATACATAAATTATTACTGTCCAATTTATAAATTTCTTGTTGAAATATTTAAACTTGTTTAAGAACTTGATATGCATAGAGCTACCTCTAGGGGCTGTTTGGTAGCAGGATTTAGGCTGGATTTGAGGCGGATTTGAGCGAAATCAAGCCAAACGGTCTAAAATGCAAAACCAAATCTCACGGCAAACGAAATCCTCCGTAGACGAAAAAATCCGCCGATTTGCTCTAAATCCGGGATTTCCGAAATCCTGTATTTTGTAGGATTTACGAAATCCATGGTACTAGAGGAAGAATCCGCTCAATAAATCTTGCTATGTAGACAAACAGTCACATGAGATTTAAGAGGATTTATCATGAATGTTACCAAACAGTTTTCAGGATTTAAGCCTCTCAAGATTTCCGAAATCCGGATTTAGAGGATTTAGGAAATCCTACTTAAATCAAATCCAGAATGATACCAAACAGTCCCCTAGAGTCCGCATAGAATAGTTTCTAAGAGGATTGTGATAATCATCTGATTTACTAAGTATACACTATAAACACTATACAAATAATTACAGTATCCCGTCCGGACTACGCGCGTAAGAATTTCCCGTTCGATGGAGTGCGAACTCTGCGTTAAGGAGTAGGGTTTGGAGTTCACTCCTGTAATTCGCTTTCGTGGGTCGGAGGCCTGCTACTTCCGTTCATAGTTTTCTGCGCCGCTGTGCTGCCGCTGCGCTATTAAGATGATGGTCGCCGATCAAAGTCCCAGTCGAGAAGCCCGGGAAGAGTCTAAGGAGGAAGGGCAGGAAGAAACTGGTGCGGAAATAAGAGGCGAAGAACCGGAGGAAGAGGAAAATGGACAGTCTCCTTCGCATCTCCCTTTCGCCCCTTCATCACAGGTGATACTTATAAAATTCCAGCAACCTCCTGCATATAATTCATCATTTTCCCCTATTATTGGTAACCGTTTTGTAATCTTATGGCATTTGTTTAAGATCATAGAAACTTTATTACTTCAGGTGTTCTGAAAGTGGCATTGCTTTCATAATTTATTTGTTGTTTTCATTCGTAGATCGACCAACTCTACCCCTAGGTCTCTGGTTCAGTGACTGCCCCCCTCATGCATGCCACTTCCATGTTCCCATTCGCTATTAAAATCCACAATTTCGAGCCTCTCTGTTATACAGTCGATGATCCTTATTATGATGTTGACATAAACTTACTAGAAAGTTATTGAGGATAGATGATCGTAAATGTGTGGTTGAAGCAAAACATGTTTCAGAATTCGAATTTTAGGCGAGACCTGAATCGAAACTGACCTTGGGTCTGAGTATGAGCTCAAATTCATACTTGAAGGTGTACTAAAATTTTGTCATTTAAGCCTAGCATTGAACGACAATGTGAATTTAATGCTGAATCTATACTTTAGTCAGAATCAGAGTCTGAATCTAATTGTGATCTTAAATACGAACAACTCATACCTGTTGAAGCCATTACTTCTCTTGAATACCTAACTTAACTCCTGTGTCTTTTGCATGAACTTCAGCATGTTGCTGACTTTGTTTTGGTTTCAGATTTATCAAATTTCTAACTTATGTCAGGGCGTAAGCTGAGTTGCATAAATACCTTGGCAGGCTTTCCTAATGGCTTTCTTTGTGAAAGCTTGAATCCTAGATGCATAGTGCAATCTTAACTCATTGATTCTAAATTTAGAATGGTCCAGCTATTTAGCCTTAAACTATAAGGTTTAGGCTTAGTTTGGGACGGCTTTCTTACTGCTTCGTAAAGCAGCTTTTTAGTACAAAAATAAAAAATTTGTACTAGAAAGCTGCTTTAAAAAGCAATAAAAAAGTCGTCCCAAACGAAGCCTTAGTTTTCTTTAAAAAGCAATAAAAAAGTCGTCCCAAACGAATCCTTAGTTTTCTTTAGAAAGGTTGTTTGCCATGTATGCTCACCATTAAGCAAAGTCACTTGACTACCATGATTTCAAAATTCTTTTTGTTATCACCTTGTTTCTCTATATTCTTAATTTCATTTACAACTTTCTTATTTGCTAATGTAGGATGTGGATACTTCTCAATGTATTGTATTTGGCATCTAGTTTGGTCGTTTAAGAATTCCAAAGAATTAATAATCCATTGAATTAAATTTTTTTTTTCTTTCATATTTTGAATTTTTTTTAATCATAAGATCTTTGATGCCAAAAAAATTTATTGACCTTGTGTAATATATGTTATTTTTCATCTTAATTGTACTGATATTTTTGCAGTTATCTGATACGACAACGGTGGATCCCAGCTATATCATTTCTCTAATAAGGAAGCTTTTACCAAATAACACAAGGACTCAAAAACAATGTCAAAATGCTACTTGCAATTTGTATCCTGTTGAAACATCAAAGGAGTGTCCTTTGGAAGAGAACATGGTGGGAGAATCTAATTACATGAAGAAAGTAGGAGACACGGAAGCTATTAATAATTCTGTCCCCCATAATATTGTAAATGATAGTGAGGGTTCGACTAATGATCACTTTGTTGATTGGACATATTCCTCTGCTTCCACATATAATGGGATGGGACCTGATTCTAGAAATGACGACACTGGTTCTGATGATAATGCATGGGAAGACTCCGGATGCATTATCTGGGATCTCTCTGCGAGCCGAGCTCATGCAGGATTCATGGTATTTGATTTTTTTAATCCTAAATGATTTCTGTATTCACTTTTTCCTTTCATCATGATAATTTAAAACACTCGTTGCATAGCAATTTTGATTTGTAAGCTTAGTAATCTTTTCAAAAATATTATATGGAATGATACATAATTTGTTCTCCTATTTTGATACTCAGAAGGTCTTTAGATTTTGCTTGTTTAGTTTTATTATTACTGTCAATTACTTATTAAACCTGGAAGACCATTCTTGCTATCAAATGATCATGCCATTGACTCAATCTTTGAGTCTTCAAATCATAACTAATTATATTTATTGACATTGATTTTGTAAATGATAAATCAAACTTTTTTATTTCCTAATTATTTCAATTAAATCTTTTTATACCCACATGTATTAGAATTACTTGTCCTTATGAGCATTGGATCAGAGCAAATTGCATGTTATATTTTTTTCTCTTTAAACTAGCAGCTCAATTTGCTGTTCACTACGTACATAGAAGTGGTCAAAATCAGGGAGGGAGGAGAAGATAAGAGAGAATCTCGGGAGAAAAAGAGAATTTAGTTGAATTGAAATTGTAATTGATTAGTTAAAGTACAAGCACTTAAGCCCTATTTATAAAAATATATTGTTACAATTTTAAATTCAATCTATATTAATCCATATTGACATAGCTCTAAAAATCCTACCATCTGATTTAAAATAAAGATAATGTTAAAAATTAAATACTTTAATGCTGAAATAAAATCAAAAAAATTATTTACAATGATAATCTAGCAGTTTTCTAGAATAATCTTGATACGTATTTTGCAACTGCTACAACTGGTCGTGTAAGATCAAATTCATTCATCTTATTATTGATCATTATGACTTAAACCTATCATATGTACCAATTTTGAACATCATTTTACCATACATTAGATCAATAAAGAAATTCTATATAATTTGAGATTTGTGATTTTGGTAATATAGAGCCTTTCAAATGATCAGCAATCTAACTCATTAGTTCCTCATATTTTTTAGCTCAGATTCCACAATCTTGATTGATGAAATACATGGGGAGAATTGCAACTTCTTTAAGTGGGTTTCTTTGTATGATCTAATGGTCTTTATATTGAATATAAGTTTGATAGATGATTATATCCTGAAGGAGACTGATACAACTGTAACAATCGGTAGTTTTATATGCTCAATGAAATTCAGTAGTGTGATCGTGGAATTCACTATCATAATCTACTAGATAATGACAATGTTTTGAATCACAATAATTTATATTATCGGTTTCTTTTTGTAAAAATTAAAAGAACATAGGAATTATAATTGAATGATTGCTAGCACTTGTAATATAGTTCTTTTTATGATAATAAAGATGAAAATGTGAATGTTCATATGAGTGAAAGGCTTTGCTTCTATCAAGCTACAGGTAGTCAAGATGGTATCTCTAACCGTAAACGAGATAGTTTAAGCATATGGGGTGTGGCTTTTGTAAATATGAATATAAATAGTAAAACCAAAAGAGATCTCGAAGGAATGAATGACAATGGATGATTGCTTGAATTGTTTGAAAATTTGCACAATGACGTTGATGTTGTCCTTTATTTTAATTTAATATTCATATGCATGAGTGTCTATTCCTAATTGAGATACTTTCTTTTAAGATATTTATATGCAACATGCAAATTCTGCTGTTCATTAAATGCCTTGGTTATTATTGGAGCAATTATATGGATCAATTTTATAACTGTCTTATGATTAGCCAACAATGCAGTGTCCTATAATGATGAATTTATTTAATTTATTGTTCAGGTCAACAATTTCATGCTTGAAGTGCTTCTAGCAAGTCTCCATTCCTCAAAATCTCCTCGAATCACGGTTAGTTACCGAGACTGCTAAGTACATTAAACATAACAAATCATCAATCTAGATATCTGTGTATTTCAAAAAGAGTTACATTGATCTCATCTTTAAAATTCTACTTAATTTAAATACTTATTTATTTATTTTTTTCCTTATACAAAATCATTTGCGCAGAACCACATATCCTTTCCTTCCTGTACTAAAGATACCTTCCTACAGAGCAGATCTTAAAGTTGAGTGATATGATGGGGTCAAGTCAGGTTAAGCGTTTATAGGTTTTTTGAAAATAGTAGATATCTCGGTTTGATGCTTTTCCGTCACTTAGCTGTTAGTGTGCCTTCATCGTCAAACTTAGTTAAAAGTAATGTTGAAGTCATGTAAGAAAGTAGTTCCTTCTGTGGTTAAGCCTGAACTTTCATTTTATCTTGAAATTTCAGCAATTTCAAGATTGTGAGTATCTTTTAGGTTTTATTATTTTAAAAACAAGCAATACTGGAGGATAATCATTCGAGGAGCTAGGTATTGAGCATTCCATTTAATTATGGTTCTCTGGTTACTACTCCTCGAAAGAAAGCTTTCAGAAGTACTCGTAAAGGCAAGATATGGTTTTAAATGCTTGTCATCCTTTTGCCAAATTTTGTTTTCAGCTTTTTCATCATCATTATTAGACTTGTCACAACTATTCATGCCAACTAAATTGGAATAAGAAAATTTAATCATAGACAAATTCGTTTTAAGTAATGATGAAGATCTTCATTTTTATATTTGTTGGAAATGATAAGCAAATAAATGATAAGTTCAAGTTTAATTAATTTCTGTTTTATTTTATTTGGCAATATATCAATCTTAGGTATTTTTGGCATACTTATGATGAATGCCTAGAAGAATGAGATGACATTTTCTATTAATTTGATCCTCTATTACTAGGTTGGTTTATGTGCTTTGGCATGGAGTTGGGCTAATTGGATGGTGGTATATCTAGGTAGGTGCTTTAGTTTTCCACATGAAGCTGTATTCACTATGTTATTAATGGACATGAGAATTCTCAGTGAGGCTTTATGTATATAGGTTTTTGAATGAAGACTTATGGGATAATTAATGATCTTTACGAAGCTAATTATAAACCTTTCCATACGTGAAAGCCTCTTACAGGCATTGGTTTTCGCTTTGCATTTGCCTTGATTCTAATTTCTATGGAATTTAAGCGCATGCAGTGATTTAACGCTAATTGCAATTTGGCAATATACTTCACCTCAGCTTTGGGAGTTGTAGATTTCTCGGTTATGTTTAAAATATCACTATTTTCAAATTTTGGGATATAACTGGTTACGGGTATGCTATTAGATTGAAACCAAGACTTGAATTTTGGATTTACTGAAATTGAACTGGGCTGATATTTGTGCCAACTGTTTTTACTTAGGGATGAGAAATCCATAAATAGATGTATGAGAAGTATATTATATTTCATATTTTTTCTTTCAAAATTGTGTGTGTTTGTTGGATGTAGGATTCCTTAATGTTTGATGTGAGTACGAGATACGACTTATAGGTTAATATGGTTATGCTGGCACAAGGCTTGGATTATATTTAACTTATGTTAAAAAAGGTAGGGGTAGACCTAAAAAGACTTGGTTAGAAAATATTAGGAATGACCTTTCTTTATTAGATTTAAACGAGAATTTGACTTTTAATAGGACACAATGGAGAAAAAGGATTCATGTAATGAATCCGACCCCACGTAGTGGGATAAAGGCTTAAGGCTTGATGGTGTTGTTGTTGTTGTTGTTGTTGTGGTGGTGTAAGGGTATTGATTTTGGTCAAATATGTTACTTGGATGATTCGAGTAGATTTGTAAAAGCTTGCCTTTCAATTGATAGAAGATTACCTAGATTTCAACTCTATGGAGCAGAGTTCAAATGAGTATAGTGGGGTTGATGTATCACATCAACTGGATTAAAAAAATGAAGCTAAAGGTTCAATTGCAAAAACCTAAGAAGGTTCTAAACCAAGAGCTCAATCATGGCCCATCACCCATTACCCATTACTAGAGCCCTCTCAAGAATAAATAATTAAGTTGGAGTTATATTTAAATTTTAATTTAGCATAAAAAAGTTTGACTTTCATCTCAGGGAACATGTGTGGGGTAGCTTAATGGAGATAAGATGAATTTATGAAGGTGGTTGACACCTTCTTCAAATAATTACCTCCTACTCTCTTTCCCCTAAAAAATTCTCTTAATTTTGAGTTATGATAATTATTGTAACTCTATAATAACACTAGTATGCAAGGAGAAATTTTAGAGTTTGAATGATAAAAAAAACTTTTGAGAAAGTTATTATCTTTGTGTTAGAGCTTGGTGGTATACCTTGACTAAGCTTAATAAGATTTTGATGCGCTTTTGAAGTAAAAACATCAAATAAAAGAGAAGAAAAGCATAGGGACACAAAGATAAGCTTAATAAGATTTTGATGCGCCTTGGAAGTAAAAACATCAAATAAAAGAGAAGAAAAACATAGGAACACTAAGATAGGGACTAGTATTTTATTAATACTTCAACAGTAATGAAAGATATAAGTGATCTACTATTTGAGAGGTAGATCAGCTCTCCCAATCAACCTTGACGCCACTAGGAAGCCCTCAAAGAGAAGAACTATAACAAAACCAAAACCCATTCATAGCATACCCTAAACCTTAGTCAACTCCCCCTTAAATAACTCTAGAACATAATAGCATAAATAGAACATACCTAAACAATTAAACATGATTTAGGAAGCCTTCATAAATAATTAAACATGATATAGAAAACCTTTCCTAAACAAATAAACCCTTCCTAAATAGCGTAATACAATTAGGAAATCTTCCTAATCAATTAAACAACTTTTCCTTGATTCCTCCTCCTCACATAATCACATAATGAATAATAGCTTCCCTGGATCTCACAAGGTGGGCCTTCCCTGATGTATCAGATTTTATCTTTAATGCTTATTGTTTCTCTACTTAAATATTCTTTTTGAACATCTCTAACATTTTCTCCTACACTCTAGCCATCTCTCAAGACCATCCATCCATAATTTAGGCCATTAAAAGCAGCCTCAACCCCACTTGGAAGCCCTGGATTTAAATTATGCTACCTTGCATCTAGTATTGTTCCCCAATCCTTCATAAGCACTTAAACCTTATAAAACCAGACCAAAACCTCCTGATCATAACTTTATGCCCTAAACTAACCCTCCATATTTATTTCCCTCCATCTAACCTTCATCAAACTTCCCTAATGAGTTAAATGAAATCAGCCCAAACCAAGCTAGTCTTGCATTTCCCTCTACAATACCCCACTCAAACGCATCACCATTCAACCAGAAACCCTAGATCACTTCTCTGCATACTAAAATAATCATTTGTAATTATTTTTAACCACGACTCTCATCATAAATCCTCCCACCATCATCATATTGCCTTCCTTCGAAGCCTATAAGATTGTGACGTATAAATAGCAATACGTAGAACGAATGATTAGAAGGTGAGATAAGGCGCATGTTAATCTTGGATGACAATAGCTTTTTTTTTGCAAGAGTTTTACTTTGAACATCCACTTTAAAGGTCAAAAGCAATACCACTCAACCATGTGGTTGGCTTCGGCACACAAGAGAAGAAAACCAAGATAAAAATTCATTCCAATTTTGCAAGAAGGTCTATGTTATTATGGTTGAAGCACATAAGTAGTCATCTAACTACAAAAAACTTAAAAAATCATGCCAAAGTTGACTTTAAGGGATTGAGTTATTGTGGAGTGACCAAACACTTCAAAATATTTAAAGAATTACATTAAAAACTGAAGCAACCTAAGTTCTTAAACCAAGTAGGAGAACACTAGGAATGCAAATTATGATACTTCCTTTTAATATCACATAAGCAAGCACAAATGATGGAAATTAAGAGAGAGAGAGAGAGAGAGAGAGAGAGAGAGAGAGAGAGAGAGAGAGAGATGGATCGAGAGAGGGAGGGAGGGAGGGAGAGAGAGAGAGAGACTTAGAAAATAGTTAGGAAGACACGCAAAAACCTAAGCAACTAAATTAAAATACCCTTAGAACAATCATGTATGGTCACCTTACATGCAAATCACAAAATTGAAGAAGGTGTTCAAAGGAAAGAACAAACCAGAGATCCACCACAGAAACTATGATCCAACACATGCCAATGCTCCTCCGACAAATATTAATAGTACAGGGCACAACATACCTTACAACTAACAATATTTAGAGAAGACAAATACGTGTGGAAGGAAAATTGTGGAGTGAAGAACTAGAAAGAAGAATGAGAAGAAAAAATAGGATTGGGAAGAAGATAGCTCTCAAGCTAGGAAGAAACCCTCAGGTTTGAATTTGTTTTCATCAACAACAACCCTCCCAACAACAATTCAACCCCTATATATATATAGGAGAAAGAAGGGAAATAATATTTAATAGATCACATAAATGTGCCACCAAACTAACTAATAGAAAATATTCAAGATAACCCTCATAATGAGAAGTTAAAACACTTATCATAAGAATCAACAAAGGGGAAACTGAACAACCAGTAGCAGGGAAACCGAGAGCCAGCAGGCAGCCAACAACAGGGAAATCAAGAGTCAACAGGAAGCTAAAAACAGGGGAACCGAGAGCTAGCAGATAGGGAAATTAAGAGCTAGCAGGGAAAAAAGCCACATGAGAGAGAGAACTAAAAATACAAGTGGAAAGCTAATGGAGTGAACCTACCTAAGAGCATCAAACCCAAGCATGTTCACAAGTTGTTTTTCATCATAGGGCAATACACAAAAAAAAAAAAAAAAAAAAAAAAAAAAAAAAAAAAAAAAAAAAAAAAAAAAAAAAAAAAAACATAGAGTACAAAATTTAGGGAAAAAAGCAAAAAATAATAATTTTTTGACTGCATCAAATCTTCTTTAGTGGAAGAATCTCATCTCTTGATGAGAATGCCTCAGTACCATGCTGATAGATATCAGGATGACCAATCTG